AAAAACATATTCGGTGACCATAAACTCATTAGTCAGCTAGAAAAATAAACTGTAGAGAGGGGCATTTTGCTAAATATATGCACCATATAACATATTCATTATAATTTTTACTGTTCTTCAATGTTTAATTTGTTTGAATAAATCCATCAAGTTTTTATGACAGCCACCATTTAAATGTTTATATTTAAAAAACGAATTGAAGTAGAAATATTATGTAATTGTAACTGTTATTATAAAAACTTCATTAAGTGTAATTTAAGCAGTTATAGCCTACAAAATAAGTCAGTTTTAACCTTCAATATTATAGTAATGTTGTACCAACTGACTCTCATGTATATTTTACAGCATTAGTTAAGATATTTTTTTTCCTTGAGAAACTTTTGCACGTATACCAGATATATATCCAAAATAATCGACATTGAATCGAATCAAATCGCAAGCTTGTGAATGAGAATCGAATCGAATCGTGAAATTTGTGTCAAAACCCAGCCCTAGTTCAAATGCAATTTATTCCTGTGATGCAATTTTCAGCAGCTATTACTCTTCAGTCTTCAGTGTAACATGATCCTTCAAAAATCATTCCAATATGCTGATTTGCTGCTCAATTTTAATGCAAAATTATTAATAATGGTTTTTATTACCAATGTTGAAGACTGTTTTTACCGCTTAATATTTTTGTGGGAAACTTGATTTTTGAAAGTTCAAAAGAACAGCATTTATTTGAAGAGAATAATTTCTGAAGGATCATGTGACACTGAAGACTGCAGGAATGATGCTGGAAATTCAGGTTTGCCATAAAATATATTAAATTAGAAAACAGTTGGTAATAAAAAAAAAAAAATAGTATTAACATTTCTGTATTTTTGAGCAAATGAATGCAGCCTTAGTGAGCATAACAGACTTCTTTCAAAAAAAATATTCCAAACTTTTGACTGCTTCCAAAACCTACTAAATCATCCTGTCTAGGAAGCAGACAGCGAGCAGCTCATTGAGTTTTAGAACCGAGCCGCGATGGCTTGTCTTTAGTGCCTTCTAAAATCAAACGAATCAAACGAATTGAGAATCATTGTGATTACAGTCTAGATGAGAATCTAGACTGTAACCTCCTTTGGGAGGATCAAGAAGAGATGAAGTATTGACATTGTACCTGCAAGAGTATGTTGGCTCTCCCACTTTAAACACGTGGCCACAGAGCTGTGAGGGCTGGTTGTTCTGTTCCAGCTTGGCCAATCCCACGGACGGCTCTTCCCCGCACAGGTACCACTCCAGCGGGCTCTGAAGTAGCAGCGGAGCCAGCAGGTCTTCATTCTGAGGGTTCAGGTTGGGGCCCAGGCAGTAGATCTTGGGGACGTAGCAGGCCAAGTGCTGGTACACCTCTTTGGGCAGGTTGCTCGTCTGCAGCCATTTCTATGGACAGATGGGTAAAATATTAGACACACACACACAAAAGTCACAATTTTAGAAAAGCTGCCTTTTACTTTTATTTAATTATCAGTTAAATAGTGCTACAGAGCAAAAGCAGACACAGAGAGGCCACAAATAAACTAAAACCGTAACTGGTAAAGTAAATAGGTCAGGCTTGGAAAAAGAACACTGGTGGTCAGTTTGTCAGTCTTTGATTGCACTGCTGTTTTATATTTGCATGGCCTGGAAGGTGGTCATTTTCTAAAACATTTCCCATACAAGTTCATCATTTTCTTGCAAGTACTAAGCTGAACAATGACACAAAGATCATTCTAGAGGTGTATGATGTAGGGATGTAACAATTCACTCAACTCACGATTCGATTCGATTCACGATTTTGATTTCACGATTCACAATATTTTTTTTTTAACAAAACGAGATTTGAGACAAATTATGAATTAAATGTGTCCTTTTATTATTGCTTGGACAAAATACTGTACGTTTCTTTGTGAAATTGAAATATAACACTATAATAATATACTAATATAGCACTTGCATATTATTGCTCTTTTGTTGGTTTTGATTGCTTCTATTGTCCTCATTTGTATGTCGCTTTGGATAAAAGCATCTGCTAAATAACATTTAAATATAATGTAAATGTAAATGACAAAACTAAATTGAAATTTTAAAACAAGCCTAAAATCAAATAAATAACACAAATAAAAAAAGCTCTTCATATAAACAAACTAAGGCTTTGTCTGTGCTCTTTCCATTTAAAATTAGAGGCAACCACTGCATTTTAATCATGATCCAAACAAAGATGCTGCATACATGCAACATGAGCAGTTTTTAAACTAAATTAGATTGTATAGTTTCGAAATTTGAAGCAAAAACAGAATGGTTTGACTTCAGTTTTGTGAAACTATGCATAAAAAATATCTGCATGAAACAGAAACAGCAGACGAGCTGAATGAGACGCAGATTCACTCTCTGCCAGCAGGCGGCGCTTAAAGCGTTTCCTTGGTTTCCGCTGGAAACAAAGCAGTGCTGCACAGCCTGCACTTATGAACTTTAATATGCATTATACAGATGCAAGAGGAAAAGAAAAAAATACCATTGAAAGACGCAAGTAGTAAGTTCCCCTCAGACATACAATTATATAAACTCCTACCCCTAATTGAATCGGGATTTGCTTAGCATCTCAACTGATTTGAATCGTCACATATTGAAATCGATTTTCAACCGGCTCGCGGTTAATCGTTACATCCCTAGTATGATGTGACCAAAACCTTATTTCACAGTAACAGTATTTTCTTGTGGGTAAACATAAAAATTTTTTGGAAATAAATAATATTAAATAGACACATTAGTTACATAACCGTGTGTTAATGCTTATTTTGGGATAATCCGCGGAATTTAATTGGAATGGGAATCAAATTCATCTCATCTGATTATTTTTCTCATTTTTATTTACAAAATGTACAAACAGATGAATGTCAGATGAATGAAATTTGAAATTATTTGAAAATGGATGAAAAAATAAATGTGTAAAATAAACATGCTTATACTTTAAATGACAAAGCATTTTTCACAAATAAACAAATATTTAATAAAAATATCATTAAAAAGGAAGTAAACACAGAAACCAACAAGGCACTCAGTATTCTGGGAAGTTTGTGTGCATTGGGAATCACATATTTTTTTCAAATAAAGCCAAGGTAACACTCATTTTACATACAGCACACAGTGAAAATGACAAGAATATGACATTGGGCAAAAGCATGAAGCGCAGCTTAATTTGAAACCACGAGTTTAAAGTTTGTCGATCGCACATATCAATGAAGCTGCACTCCTATCCACATTCAATTCACATGGACCGACCATCATGCAGAGAACACGCGATCATGCAGGATACAAATGCACACTTCACAAGATCTCACAACTGGATTCGACTAAGTTTGTAAGGTTTTTGCAATTAGATGCTCATTAGCCATTCAAAGATTTGTTTAAATGATATAAATGTGTATTTGCTGAATGCTGACGGCAAACGAGAAAGTATTATAATGTTTGCATTTTAATAGTAATTTGAAAAATGCCAAATATCGGCCGATATACCGGCCTTGGTGATATATCGGTCGACCACTAGTCATATGATGCAATTTAAAATTTTCCTTTCTCTTTGGAGTGTTACAAGCTGTCCGTGCATAGATAAAATCCCTAAAGTTGCAAAGACTAAAGTCTCAAACCCAAAAAGATATTCTTTATAAAAGTTTAGACTTGTCCACGCTTTCCTAAAACGCCTCGTTTAAACACGCCCCCACATGTCTACGTCACTGTGTGGGAAGATTTGCATAAC